ATTTGTAGCTCATGTTACGATCTACAACTTTACTTAGAACATCAACAAATATTTACTTGAACTCGAACTGAACTTTTTGTCAGGTTCGAGTCAGGTTTGAAATTTGAACTAAACTTGAACCAGACTTTTAATTAGATTCAAATTTTCGAAACGGACTTTTCGTCAGGTTCGAGTTCGGTTCAAGCTCGAACTGAACCAAACTTTTTTTTGGAACCCTAATAATAACTAGCTATAAGATGATAATTAGGAATATTACTATCAAAGAACTTGTTCTAAATCTAATTTTAAAAGTTACAATACATATTGCTTTTATACAAATCCAAAATATAATTCATCAACTATGTGAATTCATGTTCGCTAGATTATTAAATTCTATTAGTTCAATATTCATTTATTCGTTCACTCGTTTACTTATTTGTTTACTTATTTATTTATTTGCTTATTTATTTGTTTGCTTACTTGTTCATTTGCTCATTTTATATGATTAAATTCTTCTAATAAAATATAAAATATTTATAATTTACTAATATTAAGTATGAATAACCCAATAAAATATTCAATTAAAATTTATTATATAATAATATAATATTTATTAGATTTTGTCACAATGTGTTTAGATAATCTAGTATTAAGTTAATAATTTTTATAACACTCCTGATAATCTTGCTTAAGCTACTATAATATTAATTTAAAATCTATATAATACTTATAGTAACAGTACTGAAGCAATTATACAAAAAACAAGAATACTTTGTCAAAGGGATATAAAGAGAAGTTTGCGCTTGACTACTTATTTTACAATAAGTGCAAACTTTGATCATATGAATATTCAAAATTATATGATAACTAGCTATAAGATAATAATTAAGAATATTATTATCAAAGAACTTGTTCTAATCTAATTCTAATAACTATGATACATGTTGCTTTTATACATGTCCAAACTATAATTCATCAATTCTATTGATTCAATATTTACTTATTTATTTACTTGTTTACTTATTTATTCATTCATTTACTTATTTATTTGCTCATCCCACGTGATTATATTTTTTCAATAAGATATAAGATATTTATAATTTAATAATATTAAGTATAAATAATTCAGTAAAATATTTAATTAAAAGTTTATTATGTAACAATATAAAAAAAATAAAAAATAGTAAAAAGAATATTATTGCATTTTTGATAATAAATATATATTAAAAAAGTAATAAAAAATAAAATAATAATAATAATTTTAACAAAATATAAGTCTAATAGGTGTAATATATATTTGAAGAATTGAGAAAATTTTATTCTTTGATCAGTTTTAGTTTTACAATAAATATAAGAGAAAGTATTTCATTAATTTCAAAATCTAATTAATCATAAATTTATTAATTAGTTGATAGTTAGTAAAAAAGATTTATTTTGTTAGTAAGTATATCAGTGAGAGAGAAAAAAATGAAGAGTTATTATATTAATCATGAAAAGCAAATTACAAACTTTCATTGTTGATAGTTGATAAGCCACATTAAGTCACATGTTCGAATTTTACTAATTTCAAGAAATCCAAAAGTTCGGGCCACGTGATATTTTTTGATGATGTTAGCGATGATAACCAATTAAATTGCAAGATCAACATGTAACACAAAAATTCAAAAAATAAACAAAACAACATATTTTTGTTTGTCAAATAAGATCCCTTTTCACATAAAAAAATTTTCTGATTCCATGATTTCTGATCCGGAGGAAAAAAATTACTCGCAAGCTTCAATAAAAAAGATATACGAGACTGATGTTCAGGTATTTCTTACATGATTCCCGATATATGCTACCGTGTTACTCGATATTCATAATCTCGTGTTACAGATAAAAAGACTAGCGTCATTCACTAAAATAAAATTCACAAAAATCTCGAATTCACTCATACCAGCTATTGACACCAATTACAACAATGAAGGTACGCCAAAATTCATCTTTGCACATTCTATCTTTCTTGTTCGATACTGGTGCAATTTAAAAATCATTCATCCACAATTATAAATTCATTTGTTGTTCGGATTTACCAACAAAAAGAAACCAGACACGTATTACGTCGGTACACTTACTTTGGCGCCACATACGGTCTCGCATTCTCGCTGATATTTGACGTCGATGAGACGAACGCATGTGTTAAAAAGACGAAAGTCAATGTTGGATTTGGTGCTAAAAGCGAGCTTGGCAAGTTTATAGAATTGTAAGTATCATTCGATTTCATTCAAGTTTTATCATGCGATTTTTGGTTGATGATTAATTCATTATTTATTTAACATAATAACAATAATACTAAAACAAAAGTGTAGAACATGAAAATAATATCCACATATTCTTCAAAGGCCTTATATCCTACGCACGATTAAACCAGCAACGCACGCGTCTATTCGAAGCGCTTAAGCGAAAATACCACCGGTCGTTATTGATTTCGTCGTCATCGTCTACAAATGAATACTTGGAACCTGAGGAAAAACAAGACTTTGGTGATGGTTTCTTGGACAGTGAAATTACGACATTCCTGCGATTTAATGATATGATAAAGTTTGTATATATTTTTTACTATCATTCCTACACAAAATATACATTATATAATAAATTAAAGTAATATCAAATTATTAATCATTTATACTATAAACTAATAATTAGTCCACTAGCAATTGACCTTACTCTATACTGGCGCAACACCGTTTCTCGTACCGGACATGTCGTGCCCAATATACAGCTGATACCGCGTGTACCGCCAAAATGTTTGTATTTTCATTGTTACTACCAATGCTAATGTTATGATGATTATATATTCTCCTTTGTTAATATAAATGCTAATACAGGGGAAATATTTGACGAAAAAAATCTCGTTTCGCAGTTACCGGCACAGTTCTTGAAGCTGGTCCAGTTGAAGGGTGTTCAGGGTGCGGTAGAAGTGTGTGTTCGGTGTATTTTTGATCTTTGATGCAAACAACAATAATATTTACTATGTATGGTGTATTTTGTATACTATGTTCCGCGCGTGAATACCGGAATAACGAAAAATTTGTTTGACTTTAAAGATATAATTATTATCTCTATTTTCTGTTTGATGACCTTTTCTTCTATTTATACCCGTCGTTGCTAACTATTAGTGCTGAATAAAAAAGCATGTTGAATTCATAATCATCGTCCAATTTTTCTACTCAAACTTGGATCAACCCAATTAACCCAATCAATTCCCTGCATTTCCACGAGTCGCGAAACAGCTCTTTCAAACGCGAATATTTCTTCCTCGCCCGTGAAAATCGGATTATATTTGTTTTCGTGATCTTGTAGTCCGAGATCGTCAATCAGTTGTCGATGACGTTCGTCCATGTATCGTTGTAATGACGGGTCGTATTTCTCTTCGGTGATGAATAGCTGGTTGACTGGTGCCTCTGCTGAGCATATTAATACTGACTATTAACAAAGTATTAAATTACGATTAATAATGAACTAAAAAAATAGATTTGGTTCTGTTTATTGAAATTGTACCTTTGTGTCATAAAGCGCATCAATCAACGTGATAAACCTTCGTGCTTCGTTCTTTAAAGCCAATGACATTCGAGGTATCCCAGTAACCATAATCACCCGATAATGTTTTGTCAACTCTAAATAATCTGCCGCGCTCAACGGCTGCCCACACAACTCTGCAAACGAGAATCTGGCAATACCATCACAAGCCAACGGGATATTAAGCGACCTTCCCAAAAACTCCAAAGACCGCTGTCGTACTTCACGACCTTGTGTCAATCGATTGAACAGAGCCTCGATCTCCTCATCAGTCTGCTGATTCAACGGACTATAATATACATGACTATTATTTCGTTCGAGTTTTCGATAGTCTGTCCCGGAGTTTAGTGTTTGTACAAGACACCGTTCTTTCAGCAGGTTGATACATGGTATGAAACTTTTTCGCTGGATACCGTTTTTGTATAGTTCGTCCGGGTGGCGATTTGATGTTGTGACTACTACCACACCACGGTCAAATAGCTCGGTGAATAGACGTCGGAGGATCATTGCGTCGGCGATGTCGGTCACTTGGAACTCGTCGAAACATAGTATTATTGCGTCGTTTGCCAAGTCAGTGGCAATCGGCGGGATTGGATCGTAGTGTTCGGAATTTGCTTGTTTTAAGAGATGAATTCGTGCGTGGACGTCTTGCATGAATGCGTGGAAATGTATGCGACGTTTTCGTTTTGTGGAAAGAGTGTCGTAGAATAAATCCATTAACATTGTTTTTCCACATCCAACATCACCATATAAGTATAGTCCTCTAGGGCCGTATGCAGGTCGTTGCGATTTTGCAGGTGAGCTGAATAATTTTGATAGCTAATTCGATTAATTTATTTTATATATCAAAATTAGTTAGTATTAGTTTAATCTCATCTCCTAACACTATAAATATTAAAAAATTTACCTTGTCAAATATCGATCCGGTTTCTACAGTATCTCTCAAGTCCGAAATCAATGGAGGATCGTAGCCGCATAAACGGTCATGAAGATCTTGTAATAGCATCACTATTCCCCTTTGAAAATCATCTGCTGCTATCATACTCGACGCCACCATATGATCATATCGTTCGAGTGGTCCGACTATTAAAAAAAGTTTATGTTTTGTATAGCGTTAAACTAGCTCAGGTAAATATTCTTTGAAAACTTTACACTGATTCAGGAAAATCAAAATTTTTGCTTTTATACCCAGTACCTTTACTGTTATTAAGTCCACCACCACCAGCCCCTTGAACTACGCTTGCTTCGTCATTTGTTATTCGCAACGGTGATGCAGGATTTACCGAGGCATATCCTTTTATTAATAGTTGTGGTATGTTTTTCGTCACTGTTGTTGTTGAGCTCTGTAATATTAAGGAGAGTGCGGGGTTCGTTCTTGCTGCTGATCTTGTAATGCTTGATTGAAATGTAGAGGATATGGATTGATTATTTTGCGTGTAGCTTCGTTGTATTATCCGTTTTATTCGTGCAAATTTGCAAGAATTATATTTTAATAAGTTGTTATTATTAACCTGACGTAGGTTCGTGTATAATTTAATCAAAACTGCCATTTGAATGACGAACATGCGGGAATGAATGTAATTTTTGACTCGACATTACTCTTGTGAAACCAGAAGATACATTTTCTGTTGAAATTCAATGCTCTTCGTTTCTGTGATCAACCAATCATCTTTAATTTGCAATTGGATCTATAGAATATCAGTACGGTATGGATAACCGATACTATTGGTTATAGCGATAAACTATACAGTCAACTCTCTAAATGCACACCACCGGGAGACATTTGAAAATCAAACCTGAGAGTGCATTTAGAGAATTTGTGCATTTATAGAGAGCATTTTACTTAGTAATATTATTAACTTACCGAACCAAGGTGTGCATTTATAGAATGGAAACATAGCGAGTGCATTTAGAGAGTTGACTGTGCTAACTGTCAAATCTTTTAAAATAACCTACATTCCCATACCCTAATACAGAACATAAAATAGTACAGTCCACGTGTTACTGTACTACCCCCACGCAGTGTTGTCGCTTGGACGCGAATCCAGCAATTTGATTGGTTGGGACAAGTGTCCTAACCATACTGATCTGGTTAGCGTTCTGGACCACATTGGACTTATAAAATTACCAAGTCCAGTGACGCAGTATTGGACTATGTCCAGTATGGTCCAGTTGACGACACTGGGTCCATACCATACTGATATTTGCATTACCCTTGGCAACTGGTGAGTATAAAGAGAGGATGTATATATTTCAATAATCAAAATGTTGTTTTCTATTGTGAGAATCTAAAATTTCAAATTAATGTGCTTTTCACTGTTAACGTGCGATTTTCGCTATATTCTGTGTTTTGATGAAGAGATTTGTTCTGACAGAAACTTTGCTCTTGAGTCGTTGACTATCTGAACGAGAATTAGCAACATCTATAGCTGGATTGTCAATTGGCGATGTCTTCTTTTCAATCGATGGTTTTGAAAGTTCTGGCAGTGCCGTTGCTTTGCAACAAAGGAAGACCTCTGACATGAGTGTCCTCACTTTGTAGCTTGCCAAGAATTTGGAACGTTTTTCGATAGCAAACATAACTGGATTAGCCCGAAAATGACTCGGAAAACAATCACATGACTGAATTTCGCTCAAAAAATCATTAATTTCGATATTACTGCTTTGCAAATGGTTTCGATTTCAGGAGTCTTCACTTTTCTTATGCAATGCGAGTAAAATAAATGTGAAGGCATATTGTCAATCAGTCTAAATGGTGTTGTCTATGCAATATTCATACCGCAAATTCTTCATTCTAATTATCCACGTGACCATATGACGTGAAATGAAAACGGGAAGTCTACGAACAATGCTTCGGGACAGTGCTGAATCACGTAGCCTTTGACACAAGTAAATGAAAAATGTGGAAAACAGATATCAAAATCTAGCTCGAAGTACTAATAAAAAACGTCGGAAAAGCAATTTTACATATAACCTTATGCTTAGCTCTAATCCTAATCCAAACGATAAAATAATCTTTAATGTCAATTTTCCGTGATCACGTGAGCGTGGATTTTTGAAGGCCTCGTGATCCTGCACTGTCCTTAAGCCTAGTCATTGCGAATAAAAGTGTAAGTCATGTGATTCAGATCACAATGCCGATATTCCCCCTTAATTATAATTCGAGTTTAGAATTAAGGTTATTATATAGCAAACGGGATTGTAATATATATTAAAGTTTCGCAAGGAACACTGTTAAAACATAAATGATTGTTTCATAAGTAAAATTTCAAGATACAAGTTATTTTTCGAAAGTAAGGGGAGAACAAATACCTGATATTCATTTAACATATGCATGATTTAAGGAGGTCGACATTGTGATCGGAATCACGTGATCGACACTTTTTTTCGCCATACTAATATTAATACAATAACTCCGGTGTACTTTTCAAACCCCCCCCCCCCCTCCTCCTTGAATAGTCCCTCAAGATACAGAATAACGAGAGCAATATATAAAAATTTGTTACTAATTGAAGAGTTATCTTGCTATTAAACATAGGAAAAACCAAACACTAATAAAAATTAGATCGCAAATTGCTTATCAGTAAAATGGGAATATTATCTTAGGGGCAGTGTTGTACGATAGTTTAGATAAGGGTGCTGAAATATATTAGCTAATATTATTTTGATAGAGATGCTTCCTTCCCATTCCCCAGGTAAGATCTTTTATTTTGTACTACTTAAGATCAAGCTCTAAAACATTAGCTAATAAATGTCACTGCTCTAAGATGCTAGATTAATCAATATCTAAAAGTTTGCACTAACGCTAAGCATTGAAAGCTAGTTTGTGACTAATGATCTTAAGTAGTACAAGATTAAGAATTTTAATTGGCTAAAAGATCCTTGCGAAGTTCTATAATTTATATTCCCTAACCCTAACGCTAGCGGAAACTCTATCATAACTCTAAGACGTGCCACAAAAAGGTAAAATCGTCAGGGGTCAGATTTTCCGGCAGCGGAAAATGGGTTTGCTGTTGAAGGGGAGGCATCTCTATCAAAATAACATTTGTTAATATATTATGGGCCAAGTGCAATAAAAACTGTAAATTGTATTATAAATTCTAATACAATTTACATCATAATATGTCAGCGCCCGGTATCGATATGCATTACTCCGGCAGGTGTCATTTATCAAAAGAGCAGAAGGAATTATATAATCCGTGTCGCACAATCAGACTAAGACAGCAAGTTTAGAGCAAGACTTCTTATGTTTGCAAACCTTTTGATAGGTGGCCTTGGTTTGATTACTATCAATATAAGATACAATATACAGTGCAATCATAAGTATTCGACCCCCATCTCGACATAATTATGTGTAACGCCAAGAAATTTTCCGAGCATGAAGAATGGCACAAATGCTGATTAGTAGATTCGGTTCAGTACCAGTTATGGATTTGATAAATTACGATTTGTACCATTTCATTTGCGCTACGCGATTATCAATATGGTCTTTTGTCACCCCTCTTTGGGAATTGCCTGATTGACCGCTGTTTTTTGTCTTGGCATTTCTCTATCAGTTTGATTTCACGTTCATTCCGCAAAATATAAGGATTTGATACATGAACAGGACTATCGAAATGATTTATAATATATTAACTCGAAATTCTGATACGTGTATCAACTTAATGACAATGTCATATTACCGTATATAGTAATATTCATTTTAATAAAACAAGAAAATTTTATTATTCGCTATATATTGTGTCATAATATATTTCCATTTCGGTTCACACTAACCAATTGAAACATGAAATTAATTTATAAATAAATCATGTATCGGTATTAATTGATTAAATGACCGAATAGGATAAATCTTATTTGATAACACGTAATGTTTATTGCATTTATAACAAACACAAACACATTGATGGAGAACATTGATGGAGAACATTCTTGTTGCTGGTCAACATAATAACCAACCAACTAATTATACAAGCTTATATTAGTGTTGCCTTATTTTCGGTTGTCATTATCTCCTTTTTTTCGCTCTCCATTATTGTATATTACTTTCTTTTATTTTACAAACTCCGATACAAGATCTAAAAAACCTTTTGTCATCACAAAACAGTAACAATAAATAATACTATTATAATCTCGTGTTCTAGAAGGTTTTCTGACCACAACCGATAAAAGTATAAATACGATCAGTTAATTAGGGCTCGAATTGTTTTTCTGTTTTTCTGTGACAAGCAGTTATTCAACATATATTATATGCGCATATAGCTTGACGCTTTCCGATTAACGCATACAAACAACCTCGCGAAAACGAGAAATAGATACTAGATAATAAAGGAATAAGATACTTAATCAACGTCAAATACTCAATTTATCGAATCGAAGTTACTTGCTGTATTCACATAGAGTTTTTCGTAGATACAAAGCTTCAAAAAACATACGTTTCTTGTGTGTATATGCGTGTGAATTTCCCATTTTGAATTCTCTACTCTGATCAAAATCGAACATTTAATCACAACAAAGACATGATATTATTCAAGTCATCATCACTATTAGTACTTTTGCTACTACTAACAATCACATCACTAGCAAACATACCAACAACGAATGCCCAATGTTACGAGCATAATCCATTAAAAATTTCCGATAAAGAACTTGTAGAATGTCCTTTAGTTGACGATGGCGATGACGAAGAATCGTTAAAAAAACGACAAAATACTTCATCTAATAGCACGCAAATGTTTCAAATCAAATTGACTTGTGGAATAAGTGATAGGGCTATATGTGCAAAAGTTAATACAGCATTTGCGGCAGCTGGCACAATAATTAGTGCTACTCTGAACTTAAAGGAGCCGGTCACCGTTAATGCCACATTTATAGATTTCTGTAAATCGATGGGTGATTGCGGTAATTCTGGATTTCTGACATTAGGTAAGCTATAATTTTTAATCGATTTTGATATCTGATTTGATATTGATTAATTAATAATTACAAAATAAACAATTAATTAATAAAGGAGGGGCAGCACCAGCACGAACAATACCCATGCAAGATTTAGATGGAAAACAAAGATTCTATCCACAAGCACTAGTGAAACAATTTGGTTATACAACGCATTCTTCTTACAGTGCATATGACATCGTTGCAATGTTTAATTCTGTAGCAAATTTCTGGTTTGACGGAGACCCACCAATCAGAACCAGTCAATCAGACTTCTTATTTGTAATTGTACACGAACTAGTTCACGGTCTCGGATTCACATCAAGTTGGGATGACTATCTAAACGATGTTCCAGAAGCATTAACTCCCGATCTTGGAGGCACCACAAAAGGTTCTAGGCGACAATATCAATTTGTAGAATACGCGTTCGATCAGTACATCGTAGTAATTCCCCAGAACAAAAATTTGTCAATTTACACCGACCAAGAGAATGTTTTTTCAAAAGGAACCGGTAACAAATACACAAACATCGATGACTTTGCTCAGGGATTTGTGGACTCACCTCAATACGCTGTCGCCAAACAGTTGTTTAACTATGCCACCACGAGCAACTCTTTGGGGTTCATGCCAAGAGGTACGAAAGATCCGAATGATGCCATTATCCTCGAAACTAGTCTTAATCCGTATCAACAAGGATCAAGTATAAGTCACGTGGATTATTCAAAATACACAAATACTAGCGATTTCTTGATGCGGTATTTGCAGGATCGTGGAGTATCATTGCAGAATGCTGTACTTAATGGTGGAGATTATAAGGGCGGTGCGATCGGGCCTCAATTAAAATCAGTTTTCGAAACTTTGGGGTATGTGTTTTCCGCAAAATATATTACGTACGCATCGTTATTATCCAAAATAAATATTAATATTAATTCATATAATATAGATACGCGACACAAGATAATCCAAATCCATATCGCCCATCTCCCCCCTCTCCAAATTCCAAAACGGATGATTCTAGTTCCTCCGACGCTCCTAAATTCAATCTAATTTATTCCAGCTTGAGAATGCAATCGTTATTATCGATAATAGTGATGTTCTTTGCTTGGTACATTACACGTGATTAGACATTGTGTGAAAATAAGAGCTTGTTTTGTGAAGAGACTCTTCTACGAACTAACCAACCCCTTCCAAAAAATTGAATTAGTTACCTTCATTTCTCATCTCACTTATTCCTTAATTTATTGTTGCTGTTTTCTCTTTGATCTCCTCTTATTCGTCAAAAATTCTTCCCTCATGAACAATCTTGTACAAAGATTCCTATTTCTATTATTTTTCGGATAACGCTACTAGCGTAACTTTCCAAAAGAAAATTTCGGTTCTCTAACAAATTTTATCAAAAAGTTTATTTGATTTACTTTTTGGTATATTGGAGGATTAAGGTCTTTATGTATAATACACATATATATTTTTTTGGTATTTATTATTTATACCTGTAATATTATCATTCTCCTCTTCCTATAAAATAGAATGAACTTGTTTACTATTTCTTCCTTAATATTACGAGCATTTGATCAACACCACTTTTTGCATTTTCTCACTTCATCAAATCATCTTCATTTTTTACCACTAACCATCGAGCCAGTTTTCAATAAAAGTAACAATATATCATCATCCTCTTATATAAGTTTATTAATATAAAAGTGCTGAGCTTGAAAATTTTGAATAGTAAAAAGACAACAAAATTTCGAGACACTGAAAATGATGTTCAATATAACAAAATCCAAAAACGAAGTGCCAAATTATCCATCCCATTAATCTTTGTATACATGATATATATTATTAAACTTATTTTTTACCAAATAGAGCCAATAACGAACCAAAAAATTTCGCAATCATTCCACGACTGACTTCAGCCTCTTTTGCTGTCGCTTCTTTACTTGCGCGTTCCTCAGGTGTCTCGACATAAGATTTAGGTTTCGCATCTTCATTACCGTTCATAGACACAGAAGATGTTGCTGTTGTCGTCGTTGTTGGTGAGATCGCAATCACACTCGGCGTATCAACAACACTTTTATTTGTTCCATCACTCTTTTTATTACCAGTGGCAGGTTTAGTGCTTTTATCATCATCAAAATCAACCAGGGCACCACCACTACCAAGCGCTTCTAGTCCAGACGAGAATTGACCGGCCGCGCTATATTTTTTCACAAATTCCGTCAATTCCTCTTCTAACCCCGCACGTTTTATCTCTAACGCCAAGCGTTCCAATTTTTCTCGAATTTCACTATCCAACATCAATTTTGTAAAAAAGCCGAACCCGGGTCGTTTTCCTGGCGTAAGGTTAACCCCACGTGATATTAGTATCTCTGATAATTCTTTAATTGCACTTCGCACCGAAGGATACGATGATAGTTTCTTTAGGAATGGGTGATCTGGTGGAAATGATTCATTGGCAAAACCACTAAAACTGCTAGTTTCGCGTGGCGTTGCGTGTAGGGTGGTGCATGTGCTAAATGTGCGTGAAAGTTGACTATTTCTAGTTCTATTTCTATGATTATTCATATTGTCATTGTTAAAAGTGTTAGACGGGTGGGAAAGTGACGCCGTTGTTGCTGCAAAAAGAGTACTATTAGACGAGAATGTCGAAAGTGAACGCCAGAGTTTTTCGTGTAGTGATGGTTGTTGTCGTCGTAATAACAGTATCGCTGCTGCTGTTCGAGATGTGGGTGTTACGGTTTGAATTGCATGCATTGTATTTGGTTTTGTGGGGTTTCCGCAAAGAAATCGTCGCGAGAGTATTATAGTGTTTGCGGAGCAAGTGTTAAACTTGAATTTTTGGTTCAAGCTGATAAATTTTTGTCGTGTTCCACCGAGTCATAATGGACATTTTTAATTAGCTAATCCAATTTGATCAATGATATCAATGATATGATTGAAATTTTCTAATGAAATTTCTAGAAATATTCTGATTGTAAAATTTAATTATAAAAGTTTGTGGAACCGACTTTACAATCAGAAATATTAAAATATTATACATACAATATAATCTGGAATTTTTCCATAAATGAATAATAATAATGATTACTTCTTTTTATGTATTTTATTTATTATTTGTTTGCATATAAACTACATATTGACACACCGGGTCTTCTAAATCAACCAATAAAAATGCATAAATTTTTTATCAACACAAAGAAAATTAAAAAGACGAATAATGTGAAAAATACGGAAAGCGGATGCTTGAAGCACTAATAAAAAATGTCGGAAAAACAATTTTACATATAATTTTTTTTCCAGTCCCAACCCTAACCCTTAATTCTAATGCTATGGTGCATAACATCTAAAGTCATCAAATGTTTATGTTTTATAAAATGTATAAACATCTTTACAAAAAAGTAAATACAAAATTTAATCTGTGAATATTCTCAGAAAGAGCCTATTCTATCATATTCATGGATTAAATTTTGCATTTACTTCTATGTAAAAAAGTTTATACATTTTGTAAAATACAAACATTTGATGACTTTAGATATTATGCACCATAAAATTAATCTTTAATATCCTTAATCAATCAGAAGTTTTTCTTTTTATAAAAATATTGTTTTATTATGATTTATTAATAAATTTTGATATTATTGCTTTTTTATTGTTATTGTATATTATATATACAGTCAAATTTCTTTATAATCACCACCCTTAGGAAAGCAAAATTGGATAACTATAGAGAAAATGTAACTATAGAGAGATTTTTTTACTATATTTATATATAAATGGAAATAGAGTAACTATAAAGAGGTGTAACTGTAAGTATGTATAACTATAGAAAGATTTGACTGTACAGTGACAATCAAAAATAATACAATGATGTTAAAATTTATTAATTAAACATAATAAAATATGAATTTTTCTCTTTATATAAAAGTTTTCAATTTTATTAATAAATATTTTTTATTTTTACATTAAAATGAAAATAATATTATATATATATTAGATTTAATCTGATAAAGCTATTTTAATTACATATAAAATCAATTATTTTTTATATATTTTAATTATAAAAAGAAAAATTATATTGATTAATGAAATATTGGTTGTAAAACTATAAACTATTATATTTATATTCACTAATATTAACACAAAATAAACAAATATAATAAAAATACCAAAAATATAAATAAAAGTAATGCACTTATTTAAAGTTGAAATATTTAACTATATCAAAATAATGTAAATACTAAAAAAAATACTAAAAGAAAATCACTTATTTACAGTTACAGTGCATAACTAAATCAAAAATAATTTATATGCAATTAAAACAACTTTATTAGATTAAATCTAAAAAATCTGAAAAAAATATATGTTAAAATATGTAATATTATCTTTATTTTAATATAATATTTATTAATAAATTTGAAAACTTTTATATAAAAAGAAAAATTCATATTTTATTATATTTAATTAATAAATTTTGATGTCATTTCATTATTTTGATTGTTACTGTATATAAATTAATTAATAATTTTTTAAAATTTAAAAATCAAATTTTAAATAATCAAAATTATTCTTATTATAATTATATTTATTTTATATAAAAATTACATTATAATTACACTTTTTTAAGAACAAACTATAATAAAATCATCTTGTTATTTATAATAAAATCAAAAAATTTATTATTAAATCTAATAATGTAATTATAAAGAAAAATATTTTTATAATTAAAAATTTCAATAAATTCATTTCAATAAATTTTTTATTAAATAATAAATCTTTATATAAACTAACTTTTTATTAATAATTCTGTTTATTTTGATTTAATAAACTATAAAAAAACTTTATTTTGCAAATAATATATTATTATATATTACAATTAAAGCAAATATTAAAAATTTCAGTTAATTCAAAAAAGCAAAATAATAATGTTTTAGGATAAAATGAAAATTATATAATACTTGTTAAGTATTCAAGAAATTTCTATATTAATTAATATTTATAATTTTTCTAAGTGTTATTATATTTATTTTTTGGCTTAAAAAATATTTCAAATAAGGGGCGTGCCATTTATCACGTAATTATTTTTAATTAGTATGGTTCCCCATGTATTCACGGTGTGATTGTAACAACTAGCCAATCACATAAGACGTGATAACTAGCTGACCCATGGTAAAAATCAGGTAATAAATGGCACACCCCAACCAATGTAAAAGTTATTTTATTTCTTTCGCAAGAAAATATTATCATCACAGTAAACAATAATTCTCAATAGTTCTATTTTCCTTGCAATTTAATAAATCAAAAGTAAAAAAATTTATTGTAAAGAAAAGTTTTGCTCAAAAGATAATTATTTTATTAAACCATCATCAAGATTGCATATTAATGACTATAAATCGTAAAAATATAATAAACGATTTGATCTTACCATAGCTCTTGTTTGATGGAGGGGCACTCTAACAATGATGAAATCAATTAGAAAACTAAATATTTCAACGATTAAATGACTAAAATTAATTAAATGATAGTTATAGATCATTGATGAACCGAACTTTTGAAGTCAACATAATATATATTCAGAGCATTTTTAAATACGTAAGTTGTAATCATATCCAATAATTTATTTTGAGTATTAATAAAAAGATTGATATGCAAAGACTTACTTTCATCAAATTGGTTGTTTTTTGTTTATCTATATGTTTAATTTGATAATAAAATAAATTTTTTTAGATCACTTGTTCTAATTTGATATAATAATATCTATTAGTTTCTTTCTTTTGGGACTAGTTCAGATTTTTACAAAAAGTATTAGACATTCGACATTATTTAATTCCGTCCGCCCGTCTACAATTCTCATCATGTGATTTTATATATAACATATAACCCAATTTTCATTCAAGTTCTAAATAAAAAATGCCTACCTTGATTTTGTTTGAAAAAGTTGCATAACGATAAACGATGAGCAAAAGATAAATAAAAAGGTAACGGTAAATTTTGCTTGAAATTAGTATTCACGCATAAATATCTTGTTATTTAAAATTTTTCAAATGGATTAGATGCATGACGATGATTCACATTGATATTCTTAAAGAACATACCTTTTTAATTGTAATGATAAGATGAAATCCATGTTATCTGACTAAAACAGGATTTTAAATGAGCACTTTTTGGGGGCAAACAATGACGAACGTTCCTTATACAAGCCATGGAAAGAACAAGCATATGCAAGAGCAGAAGCAGAAATTGGAACAGGAACAGGATTGGAACAGTCGTTTCCGTCCGAGTTTTTTATTTAATCTGAAATTTCTAGGTAATGAAGAATCTATCGCGTGTGTACAATTTATAATTTATTACATTGAATTTAGTTCTATGATTTTCTATGGCAGGAATATATTATATATAACGATAATGTAAATTGTTATGTGATTAATTAACTAATTATGTTATAATTGATAATAAAATAAAGTTTACAAAAAAAGAATCAGCACGGGATTACTAATATGCAAAATATATACGGTCACTCCGATAATCGTCCTGGCATACTAATTAGTTCATGTATTCGATCAATCTATCCACTCACCCACCTACTGGCTAAATATGTATTTACTTTCCTAGCCTTTTCCTTAAAGCTCTCTGACTTTTTCTCAGCTTCTTGTGCTTATGTTTATTCATCTTCAATCTTCGCTTTTGCCTCACATTCGTCATGTAATAAGTTTTCACTTTATTATTTTCCGTAAGATCATCATCTTCACCTTCTACTTCTCGATAATCATTAACAGCTAATGTCGATTTCTTTCGTCGAACATTATTAACTTCTTCGGCCATTGATGCTGCTCTGGTTTTTTTCTTCTTCCCGCTTTAGAAAAACATTAAGAATGGCTTCTGATTCTTCTTCTTCTTTCTTTATGGTTGACTCGATTTCCGAGAAAAAGCGATCAACCACCTTTTGTGATTCGTCGGGTGTCATTGGGAGCGATGGTTGTAAAGGTGATAATATTAGCGTGGTTGTGGATTTGGTGAGCGGGGAATGACTGGAAGAATCACTATTACTACTACTACTATTATTATTATTATTACTATTATTATTAGCGTTGCTATTTGAAATTAAGGTAGCGCGAAATGTTATTCCATAAATATCATCATCAAATTCTATAATGTTTGTGGAGAATTTTAGTAAATAACAATTTGGCTGTGGTTTGGAAAAATAACAAAAAATACAAAACAAAAAAAAAACAATAGAACACGAATAGTAATAAAGATTGGGGCTTAAACCCTTTATACTTTGTCAATGAAAACACACTCTCTTTACACACCTTCTTCTTCTTCCTCCCAGCCTTGTGGCTGTTGTTGACCAGCCCCCCATACAGGCGCCAACTGGTCATTAATAGTAGGTAAGGGACGATGTAAAGCGAAAAATGTATTATGCGCCAAATCTCTCGGGTCAATATAGTTTGACTCTACAAATGTTTCTTGTTTATTGGTCGAGTTTTGTTGATTTCTCTTACTATTTGAGGAGGATGACGACGAAGAATATAATCTATTACTATTAAAATAGCCCAACGTGACTAATGTGTTATTGGTGTTATTAATGAAGTGATGGCGACCTAATTTACAGAGGCTTTGTACTCGCAGACGCGTGCGAAATAGACTTGAAACTGTAGCCATTACACTTGGTTGCATGAGGTATAAGCTGATGTATGAAAATTTAGAGGTTGTTTATATTAATTTTTTGCTTTAGAATTCGAATCCTCAAGAAAGTGAACAAGTAAGGAGTGGCGAGAGGTAATAAAGACCGACACACTTATACACAAAAAAGGCTAAAGTGTTTTTATATTTAACCATAAATGAATTAACTATTAAAATGAATACTTATCCTAATATAAATAATATTATATATATCGGTTATTAGAATTTCATTTGTAATATTTGTTTGTAATAATTTACAGAAGATCACGCAAGTACACTAACATCGATATATACTGTATTTGACCTGGTTTCCACCTGTTGCTCCACTTTGTTTTGGTTTCGCAGGCTAGCTCCCGCCATAGACAAAAACTCTACCATACCCCTTCGAAATTTTTAAAATATCTGTTATTTTTTTAACGTCGCGCTTTGCTTGCATCATAAATAAATATAATTATTACAAAGTTGCTGACGGCTTGCCAATTATAATAAATACGCGAAGCTAACACGATGGTTAGGCCACCCGGACAATTGATAGAGAAAACGGTATGCATACTCATTTAAAGCAAAACAATACTAAACAAAAATTAGTCGATACTAAACAAAAAATAGTCAAATCGAGTGTATATAGTCACACATCTCTTCTTGATGTGAGACTGAGAAATACTGCATTCTTTTTCAATTAGAGACAACAAGAGTAATAATAACAAGTGAAAAAAAACCATTCCAGTCATTCGATTGTCTTGTTTCTATTGTTTTATTTGTTGGTGTAATTAGGTTTGAAGCAAAAAATATTGAGCATATATAAATAATTCTTTTTTTACCTTCACCTATAGATAAAACGAGTATCAGAATCAAAATGGACAAAGCTTTTTGTCTTGACATCCATTCTGCAGGCTATTCTGGTAATCGTACTAGAGGGAAGAGTATATGCACATAACAATAGAGAGAAGCGATTTCTTGAATTGAAACCGGAAGAATGTAAAGTTGCAGATTCGATAACACGTATCAACAATATTATGCAAGAAAATTTAGTGTTTATGGGATTTCAAGCTTTTCAATTTCTTTTTTGTGTAAACGCGGTAAGATTATCTTTATTTTTTGTCTCGAATTTATTGAAAGTGTTTTTTCCAAAATTCTTATTTTCTTTATAGATTTACAATCAAAATACAATACAAATGATCGCGATTGCAGTTATTAATTATGTTTGTGCACTTTTTGGAATAGTGAGTATTGTCATTGCATTGATCATATCATCAATAGTATATGAATTAAATAATTTATATATTGCATTAGGTGCAAATATTTGAAACAGTGAAATGGCGTAAAACACTCACTGACACTATTGATGGCTTGCCCATGGACAAATGCAACGGAAAAGATGGAGATGGTCGACCATATCGAGACCTGCTTAATGCTGACATAATATCGTTTGAAGTGCCATTGGTTGCTATACTATTAATATTTGGTACCGGATTGGGATTCTTAGCGTTCAAGCTGTATCAACAATTTGGATGGAACATTTATAAGAGAATTGGTGCAGATTTACGAAAACAATGTAACTGTCATGATTGTTTTTTTTTTTGTTGTCGTGTATTTTTATTATTGATCTTTGTATTTTGGAAATCTGATATTTTTTAATTTTATTTAAGCTATCTACAGAACAATGCTGATTTTTGTCATGTTGCTTAAACTCGACATCTTCTTCATGTTGGCATTTTCGATTCTGGCGTTGGTCGTGTTAAACATTAACAGTGAAACTAAGATTCGAAGACTGAATTCGGGAGCTTTTTATTTTCACTTGGGACTAACAATTTTGATTGTTATAATGCAATTCCTTGCTTATATTTCTGTAGGTTATATCCCTATACTTTTTTTTTTTTAATTTGATTCTTTTATTTCAATTGATTTATGTTTTATCTTATTTTATTTTATTTTATTTTAGTTAAGAAAAGAATGGCGAGCCGGAATGGTTGTCTTCACCATCTTCTGTATCATTAGTATAATTGATTATTTCATTCTATTGAAGAATTCTATAAGTTCGAGCGTGCAAACGACGTGGTTCTTTTGGGTCTTTTTCAGTACGTTGATTTCCTTTTTTTTTGATTTTCCTTTAATCGTTGGATGTTTTTTTTTCGTTAAAAATTGGTGATTTTGTAAATATAATATACTGATTCGTCCTCCAAATTCCTATTTCCATCATTATTTATACTTAGTCATTATAAGCTGTATATTAACTGGGGTAAGCATATTCATCTTAAATTTATTGTGAGAAACTAAAAATTTATCAATTAACATTCTTAAAATATACTGTAGTTAACCGCAATATGGTCGTTCTTGGTACTTCGAAATTTCAATCAAGGACTGAAAGATCTATGTAAGAATATCTTTATTTATACCATGAATATTCACGTTTTTGCGATTTGATAATTTGTAATTTTTCCTTTGCGCCTATTAATCATTCTTGTGTATCTTAATTAGTGGACAAAGGAAAACACGACGAAAATACGAATAACACACACAACATGGAAAACACAAGGCCCACTCCTCCACGATGGCAAATCGAGGATGATGATGATTAAAGTAGTAAAGAGCATTTTCATTGATCTTTCAATCGTTCATTAAATCGAGTCTTTGTTTTGACAATAACAATGACCATTACTTGTATTTGAAAACATTAGGCATAAAGTCATCGTTTTTTATTTATTTCCTTTTTTTATTTTTAAACGTTCATTTCATATATACATATCATGTTGTTGACCCATTCTATTATCACAAGGGTGAGACACATATTTTTATATAACTTGCATTACATACATACACGAAGACACGCATTCTCTCAAACACTATAAACCAATTCACTCCACCTCGTTAATGTACACTAATTTTATTTCTTCCTGTATTACTAGTTAATCAGCAAAAATTTCGTCGTTCAAAATATTATTCAAGATGAAGCTTTATGCATTTATTAATAAATGTTCATGATTCGGAATGATCTTTATCCAAAAATTATGATAATTTATCATAAAATTTCTTGACCTTCAGCCAATCAAATACTAGATTTCTAACGAAGTAATACACACTTCTTGGCATGATAAATTTGGTGCATTTTATTATAACCAAACCAATGTTTGGATGCAATATTAATACTTATTGTATTGTTAATTATTTCCAATATGAAATTCCCAAACAATAAAAAAGGGACAAATCAATTTTTTTTTAGAATGAGTTTTTGCATCCAACATATTAACAGTCACACGATTTGTCACACAAAAATTGAACATACGATGTCGATCAATTTTTGAATTTTTCGTCCAAAGACTCATCAAAGAGTCTTTAAATAAAGTTGTTGCCTGGGTCTCCACGAACAAAATGATATATAGAATGTAGAAAAACAACGTCTCCTTATAGAATACAACACCTTTGAAATCTGCGTTTATTTTGTCTACTTTTGCTTGATTATTCTCCTGTTCGCAAATTCTTGTCATGAAAAGTGGTTCACCAGTTGCGCCTGAATGAGTGCGTTCGACAAACTTTTATCTCGAGCAGGTGGTATATTATAAACAAGGCAAAGAAAATCAAGAAAAACTGGTTTTTACTTTGTAAATCACTCCA